CTACTACTACTACTACTACTACTACTAACCCACTTACCTTGGCGCGACAGCGCGATGGCGGGCGTCAGCGAGCGCAGGCGGTGTTGGCGAGCGTTGGCAGGCGTTGGCGGAGCTCCCGTCGAACTGAGGCATCGGGCGGGAGAGGTCACGGGGGAGGGGACAGGGGCCGGTGGTTCCCGCCCTCAGGGATTCGAAATGGCGGCCCATCTGGGCCGTCGATCCTGGAGATCGACGGCGCAGATGAGCCCCGATTTCGAATTCTTGAAATCCGGCCTACCGGGCCTTTTTTTTACCTCTGTTGGCCTGGACGGCCTCCTTTGGGGGGAAGAAGGCCCCCCGCGTCGAAAACGGCCGAACCCCCCCCCCCCCTTCTGGGATGCGCTGGGGTCGCCCGGTGGCCAACCGGGCGGAACAACCGGCCAGGCAGCCCGGCGCCTCTGTGACCGATAGTGTACAAGGACCCGATGTAAGCAATCAGTCGAGGGCTGAAGATGCATCATCAATTAATTGATGATGGATCTGGAAAGGTTAACGACGTCCCTTTTGTATAATGGGTCAGCGGGTAAATTGGTACAGCAAGCTTACAACACCCTTAGGTGCGGGCGTAATGAAATTGTAGATAGTTGTATCAATTTGACCCAAAACCGGTTGATCTAGCCCTGAGCAGGTTGAAGAGAGTCCTAACGGGGCCTTTGAGGACCGAACCCATATATGTGGCAATACCCGGAGATGACTTGTGGCCAGGGGTAAATGAAGAGTGAGAATCGATCGTACAAGTTTGATTCTTCAGTGCATTTTACGCTTTGTGCTTTTTGCCCCATGGGGGTATGAGCACATATAGAAAAACTGCCTCATAACGGTGGAACCGTTATTCATACAAACAAAGAACCATGTGCCATCTGGTTTGTTCGGGGGAAGATCCTATGTAGGTCCATTGAGGCACAAAAAGGATGCAGAGGTCCCAAAATTCATTCCCCTCAAAGTTCACTACAACTGCCGTCTTCCCCCGAAGATAACGCACCCTGATAGAGATGGTTAATGGACGGCCAAAAATTCGGTGTTTTTCGGCACACCACCACAAGGGATGTCGTCAATAATTTCGCGAACAAACAATGCAGGCTCATAATACAAACATCAAAAAAACAAACAGGCAAAAAAAAATGAAAAAAAAAAACTACAATGCACTATAAAACCCTATTCGGAGTAGCATTCGAAGTTCGGCAATTTGTTTCCCGAATTCGGTGTTTTTGCCAACTTTTTTATTAGCGGTCCAAATACATCGAAACTTAATATACATATACCCTAAACCACCTACATATCACACAAAAAAACAAACACAAAAAAAAACACCAATTCGGGAAAATATGGCAGTTTCGGTGAAAAATCCGTCGAAAATGACACCACCTATTAACCATATGTGATGTATACCAAGCTGTATTTCGGGTCACGTACGGCCGAAATGAGGGTGTGTTCTGTCCAGGGGAAGACGGTAGAGAGTTCCGAGTGACACAAAAAGATACGGCGCTGGGACTCTGCTTATACAGACAGGGAAGTGCCAGGAAAACACAGCAAAGCTGCAGCGTTGCAGCAGCAAAGATTTGTGTAACCGTCCTTTGGGACATCTATTAAAAGTAGAACAATAGTACTGCGAGGATCTGGGTCCTCGGCAGGCCTAAGGGGCCCTGATACAGGTGTGCCCGCCCTAAGTGAAGGCGGGCCTAACAAATCTCGAGAGGCCTTCTGCTGTCACTTTTGTATTTGGGGTCCAGGCAGTTGTGACGCACCAGTTGGTTGAGGGAAATGCAGGCCGAGCAGCAAAGACATTCCACGGCCTTCAAGGCCTTTCCTGAAATGCAGGCCCTGGGCAAGAATCGCAGCCTCAAACACAGACAGTTAGGAGGCCCAACTGAACGAGGCTGAGTAGCTGCAACAGAGGCACAGCCTCCTGGGGCCTACCGGAAGCTTCTGGGCAGAGGCGCAGGCCAGCCAGGCCGCCGGGGGAGGCAGGCTCTTTCCATATAGGAAAGAGCTCGCTGCCTGGTCTGGCATTCGGGCACTTGCCAAATGCTGCGGCAGCGCTCCTGGAGCGATTGCTCGCAGGCTGCTTAGCGCTAAGGGCAAGGTGCTGCGCGCGTGCGGTCGTGCAGAAAGCAGGGTGCTGCTGAGGGCAGCGCCATAGCCCAGCATCCATAGCTGGCTGGGGCTTGGACTACAGTGAGGCACGAGGGTGGTCTTCGGGTGTACAGAGGGTAGACGTGGGAGAAGGATGATGATGATGATGATGTGAGGGCACATACCTGGTATTGGCGATGGTCTGCATCGGGCGACATCTTCAAGTACTTCGTTGGCCGCTGACGTCAACAGTTGCATTGTCAATTATTAGGCAGACAGTAGCTGTGTAGGAAGTAGGCTGGGCGCCGAGCGCCAAGTAGGGAGAAGGGACTGGACTCTTATGTTGGTGGTGGCGAGAGAAAGCTCTCATTGACATTGGTTTTCAGTGTTACGAATCTCCATTGGTGTTATATTGGTGCAATGCTGCTTTCTGGACACTGAGATACTATCTGGCTTTCAATGTGATTGTGCATTCTGGATATTGTCATCTCGCTGTTTCTCATTTTGCTTGCAGTACAAAAAAGAGAAAAAGGAAAAAAAGAACGACAGTACGATGCAGAACGACAATACGGGAGGGGGAAAAAAAAAAAGGATTAGCAATTTCGCATGAACCCTGCGGAAGGATGTTGGTCACAAACTGAAATAAATAGTAACCTATACTCTCTGTCTGAAATTCCTATGTTCTATTGAACAGACATTGTTACTACACTATTTGATCACTCCATACAAAAGATTTGTTTTTCTATTTGTATTGATTTGATCATATCATTTTTATGTGAGAATGATCTGGACAAGCTCACGTGAATAGAATGCACGGTCATTATAGCTGTGTATTTGGGGACTTCAGTCTAGATACGGACTGCGATAACGACCATGCGCTCTAGTCAGGTGAAGAGATATCCTACATCATGATATCTTTTTTGTTCTCGATGGTGGTAGGAGCGACTTGGGAGGTGATCTTGGGGAAGTTGGGTTATGTGAGTCATTTGTTAATATGTTTTTGAAGGCCGTTTGATTTTGCATTTGCGCGGCATTCCTCACACCCCTGCATGCTTATTCCCCTTTATGTGCATCCTCCTAATTCTGCCCCATCTCTAAATAATAAATACCCTTCTTTCTTGGCTCCCTTTTCTTTTCTTTTC